AAACGTATCAATTGTGGCATCAATGAATATGGAAATTTGTGCTACGTTATTTTATTTTTATTTTTTTGAAATTTACTATAGATATTAGGAATGATTTATTGGACAAAATCTGAGTTAGGACTTGGAAATATCGTTTTCGTGAATAATTATATTTTTTTGGCTTTAAATAATTTGTCGGAACGTTAGCCTCTTTTACAATGCAAAACATACAGGGAAAAGTCAATATGATATCGTTATAGTCACGTTCCAATAGAACTGATAAATAAATTTCGATTTTTCTGCGTCCACCATCAAATTGACGCCATGTTTTGAAGTAAAATTCGATGAGAAGAACCTCCTGGAGAGCTCGACCAACAACTCCTAAGCTGTTACGCTAATGGAATAGAACCGCCATCTCAGACGCTCCACGAGTATGCATTGGTGCTTTGCGTCGACATTCAAATAGCAAGCCAAAATATCATGTGAAAAAATTGTGTACCCATGCAAGAAGTGAACCTCTATTATTAGATAATTAAGGCTCTTATATTTTAATTTTGCTGTATTGCTACTGGAACCAAAAATGCTGATTTTTCTGCTCATGCAGTAAATATACGGGTTTCAACGTTACAATTATTGTACAGGACAATTATTTGAAATTAAGATTTAGGACTTTCAGATAAACCCCAACCTTACCTACCTACGTTATCTCTACTTTAAGTATGCAAATTTTTAGACAAGACATATGCGAGGAGTTGCTGGTATGAAAAATTTAAAAGAAGCCACAGAAATTCAATACAATCTATAAGATAAATATACTACTCAAGCAGTGTTTTACATATGCCCACTGCAACATCCACAGCATAAATTTAAGTTTATTATGCATGAACTTTCTCGGTAAAAGAACGAACTCGTGAACTACTGTGAATTATTCATTTATTTAGATTCGTTCTTACACATTTTAACATGGTTTTGTACACATGAAACTTGGAATTATTTAGTCCTGGCAATTTGTTCTAGGCCTAATGAAGATATGCAGCGTAAATAAATTTATTATAGTCTTTTAGGCTGGGATAACTTAGAATGCTAGCGAATAACTGTCCGTGAGCGAGGCAATTGCATTGACTCAATCGAGTTTCCTATGTAACTTATTTCATATCCATCGGACGAGAGGGACTTTTTAAGACAAAGACTTCCCAAGATACGATTTTAAATCATTGAAAACTACACCTTCGAAATAAAATGAATGATATAATTTTAAGTAATCCTTTTTATTAATCTTTTTTTTTCATCGGGATGACATTTTGGAACCTAAATTTCAGGCCCTCTCCATTAAACAGAGTTCCATTATTTGTCTTATTGTACAGGGTGACACAAAAAAAACAGAGCTCACTAAAAGTCTTATAACTCCTGAAATTTTATTCAGTTTGAAACAAAAATTCTATGGAATTATGTACAACCTATGTAGCCAACATCTGCAAAATCTCAATTCTATACCACAAAAACTCTTTGTTCTACAGCCGCTCAAAGTAGCCGAAAATATGTCTCAACTGCAAATGTCTTTTGCTCTGTAGTCCAAGGCATCTCGAAGCTCACACGTGGTAGACTCTTAGATCAATCCGTCTTCTTAATGAATCTGAAACAAATAACAGGATTACTTGAGTATTGTGGAAATTATTCAACTTTTTATGAGCTCTGTTTTTTTTGTGTCACCCTGTAATTCAATCAGTGCTCCTATCATTCTGGAGGCATTCAGTTTCGAAGCGCAGGTCGTTAGAATCGATGCAGCATTGCAATTATATTGTCGTATAGGTTTCCAATGATTTAATTGATAATTCTACAATAGTTTGCTTAATTTTCCGTCTTCAAAGTATGGTACTACCAAGTAACTTCGATACATGAAAAATTTCTTATTTTAAAACTGTGCTTGCCCGCCTTATGGCCAAATGGCGAGCAGTTTTGATATAAAGCAGCAAGTTTTGATATAAAATGAGTCCTTGGTATTTAACTCAACGCGTAAATAAACTACTTTTGGTAGTTTACTTACACGTTAAGATTTCGTTACGTCTTTTCTAGATGCCAATAAAAATGAAATCCTGATTATTTGCATAATGATATTAAATTGTTAGATTGTTTTGCTCTATTGTCTTTCACGTAACCTTTCATGTATATTGTTCGTGACACACTGGACATCTAAATTTGTTTGCGAAATACCTAGCGCGAAGCGCTACATACATTGACGGTGTTTTGAATGAGTGAAGTTACACTGTTTGATGTATGAGTTTAATGGCACAGAGTACAGCGCTATAACAGCTGGGTGCTGAGTCACAACTATTATTCAATGGGTATTGGGTATAAATTGTTCATCATTGAAGAGTAATTATGATGCGTATTATGATTATTTTTCAAAAATAAATTCATTTAAATTTAAGAGAAGTGTCTATTTTTACAAAAACGTCATCAAAAGTACGAATAATTAGTTTAAAAATAGAGAGTAAAATGACAGTTTAACCATTATTCAAGCAAACAGATATTTACGATGTTTCGGACGTCGATCCATTACAAAACCATTCAAGCCGCAAAAGATTGACATCTGATCTAGATAGATGGGTCAAACAAATGAATGGATCTAGACCTGATCTATATTGATACGATCTAAAAAGATCTGATCGGCAATATATTGCTCCTGTCCTTCATAGTATATAGCACCGAAAAATCAAGCAAATAAACCTAGTGCGTTCACCGAAGAACTCTTGGTGTAGAGTTAACGCTTAGTTTTTGTGCTTGGCCCACGAAATGCATAATGGTTTCAGCTGATCAATCACATAATTTGAGAGGAAGTAAAAAGCTTCATAGAGACCAATCTTGTAAATTCCTATGATGAACAAGCACTCTATGAAATATTTTCACAAGTAAACTTTGTTCACAAAATACCTCAAATTGTCCATGATTAGCTAGCTCAGAAGTTAGTACGTGTTCATTGTCCCCATTCATTGTCTCGGTTTTCCATGATGCTTCCCGATTTTTCGTTTAGGTATTTGCGCATCGCGAAAAAAAAAATGTCAAATAAGCGGACGGTAGGAGAATTATACTTGTGGTGTCCAGTATATCATTTAGTATGCAAATATTGTCAATTAAAAACTCTGAGCAGACAATGAAAGGAGTTGTGTACCGTAGGTATGAGTATTAGGTGTGAAAAATGTCAATTTGCATTTTTAGCAAACTTGTTTATGCATTTAAAATGAAACTTAAAGTAGAGAAAAGGTATAAGAGATACGAGTTGAAATATTTCAGTAATTTTCGGAAATAGTTGAAATTACAGCATTAATAATTGTCATGTTTGGCAAAGTTAAAATTTTTCGATAAGAAAAGCGGCGAGTAAGCTTACAATTCAGTTTGTTTTGAGCAAAATTATCAAAAATAGAAGACAAACTAATCGGTTTTGGTATATCAAAAGGTCCAGGGAAAAGACTGTCCTTACAACGAATAAGTTTTCCGTTTAGCAATAACAACTCAACTTCACTTCACATCGGTCCATATTTAATGATCAAAGAGACCCGGAACATCAAAGACCTAAAGAGATGGATGGAGACCACGAGTGTCATGCATGTGCATTTGATTTATAGATCAACAGATCTCCAGTGCAGCTTCAACGCCCCTTCAACATTCAAATCAATATCAGTTGGTTGAATACATGTCCCCTTATCAATAAATTCAACATCAGTTTGTTGAATGCATGTCTCTTAATCAATAAATTCAATATCAGTTTGTTGAACGCATGTCTCTTTGTCAATAAATTCAATATCAGTTTGTTGAATGCATGTCTCTTTATCATTAAATTCAATATCTATTTGTTGAATGCGTGTCCCTTCATCATTAAATTCAAGGTCTGTTTATTGAATGCGTGTCCCTTTATCATTAAATTCAATATCACTTTGTTGAATGCGTGTCCCTTCATCATTAAATTCAATAGCTGTTTGTTGAATGCGTGTCCCTTCATCATTAAATTCAAGGTCTGTTTGTTGAATGCGTGTCCCTTTATCATTAAATTCAATGTCTGTTTGTTGAATGCGTGTTCCTCTATCATTAAATTCAGTATCAGTTTGTTGAATGCGTGTCCCTCTATCATTAAATTCAATATCAGTTTGTTGAATGCATGTCTCTTTATCAATAAATTCAATATCAGTTTGTTGAATGCGTGTCCCTCTATCATTAAATTCAATATCTATTTGTTGAATGCAATTGATCTTACCTGGAAAATGTTCTTAATCAGCAATAAATCTTGGCAGCATTATCGGTGGCCGGGCAACCAGAGTGTAGACCATAATAATCCGCTTATGATTTTCATCTGCTAGACGTTACATTCGACCGGAATATAAATAAACTGAGATAAATAAGGCAGATCTACGAACCGAGACATCAGGAAACTACAAAGATATAAAACAGGTCAAAAGTGAATTCAGAATTACATAAAATTGATTGGTAATTAATAAGTTGAGGCAATATTATTCATTACTTTGTTTAGAAAAAAATGTATAGGAATCGTCTAACTATTTATCACTAATGACACTTCATAAGATGAGAGGCAAGAACGCTGATAGTGCTGACTACTCCTTAAATTAAAAGAGGCTAAATTCTCATGAAGAAAAAATTTATATCTCTGAGGTGTCATTCATATGAATTACTCAGCATAAGACTGAATATACTTAATTTTGACTTTGCAAACATTTGCCGATTGATTTGAACTTCGTTTCTTATTTAAAATGTTTCTGAAAATTAGATGTCTAAAGCGGCAAAAAGTCTGAGTTGCAGTACTTGATCCTGCTAGTAAAGTTGATTGGAATTTCTCTCATAAGCGTTAAAATTATGGACAGAAAAATTTGCCGGCTATAAAGAATAACGCGGTTACCATTGAAACTCATTTTCTGTGGAGTCTCATCAAATCCCTCATCGGAGGCTGTCCCTCGACTATCCATTCTTCCCTTACTTTGGCAGCTTGCCCCATTCAGTGCTCGTCGAGCTGCTGTTGAGTGTGGATGTGACGTTCTGTGCTCGGACGGTACAGCTGCTAACGCGTTTTTAGCAGCACCGACACACGCGTTTCTAGAATCCACATTGATGGTCGAACATCTTTTAAGCGCCCACGACAATATCGAGTGCATATGTGAATGTTTAATTACCTCATGTTTGGGTAGCGTTTGAGAAAGGATTGAGTGAGGAAACCAAACACGTTGGCAGCATCGCAGGATAAGACGACAGGCCCTCCCTCAGGTATGTCGTGCCTCGCCCTGCTAGACCCTCGTTCATAGGTCACATATTGTACCTAATATATTAATAAATAATTACGAAAACAATCCCGCATTAACGTAAGATAGATAAAAAATTAACAATTTAATATTATGAAATATTTTTAAAATCACGAGTAAAATCATATCAGAGCTAAGAGGTTATGTGCCATCAAATTTTAGAAGCAGTGATTAAACAAGTTCCAATTTTTTGTGCTCCGTTTAAATCATCATTGGAGCTCTTCTATTTACACTTGAAAAAACAAATACTTCCAGGAACTATTTGACTAACTATTTGCACAGTACCTTACAATGTATTGAGTAAATGTTGCAATAATTGTGTTCCAGTTTAAGCAGTAATGATTACAGGAGGTGGCTTCGGCCGAGTGTTACTTGAAAACTTTTATCCTTCGCTTGTGACTGATTTATTAGAGGGCAAGGAAACCGAGTGTTGAAAGGCCTCTTAAGATGAGGACACATTCAAGCTTAATCAGGCTGGGCAGTGCATTAGCACTCGAAGCCTTCAAATTCAAATCATCATCATTCAAGCTTAAATTGGTGCGTGCTGTCGGTGAAGACCGTTTTGCTTGGTAGAACATTTTCTGCTTCACTAAAAATGGATGAATGTGTCCACTTTTGAGAGCTGGATAATCACGGCTGAGAATGAATGAATTTATTCAGGAAAACACAAATAATTGATCTGAAGGTTTAAATTGATTGAATCGGGAGGCATGTGATGAGGTTAAGGATCTGATATTGAACTGCATAGGTGCGGGAGCATCACGGTCACCTGTTCTCTGAACCAAAACCATGCATTTGCGATTCAAAACTCAACATTATTCGTCCATAAATTGTATTAGCATTCCCCCCTTGATATAAGTAAATACTTTTTCGTTTACTGACAGCGTTATTATCTGCATTCTACATTTCATTCTGTTTTTTAAAAATATCCCGTCCATTTTTCTAAAGAAAAATATTAATGCATCAAGATTTAATTTATTTGAAAAAATGTAAATTTGGAGAAACTCACCTCTAGAAGCTTAAATAGACGTAACAAAAATATCATTTATTTATTAGCATTCAAGTCTCTTCACATTAAATTGTATTCTTTTTGAATTTTGCCTGTTGTTTTTCGTCCATTCAAGGGATTTTCATTAGAAGATAATTAGTTACATTTAATGTGGTGCCATTAGCACGCTAATGATCTGTTCTGAAAATTCAGGAAAATTTTAGTTTTTTGTCTAATGAGCCTTTGGTCAATGTGGTAGCATCTTATTATTCATCTAAATACATTTCAGCACGTATTTTACCCGAAGATTAGCCCAAAATATGGTGAATATTGGGCAATTCTTCGTACTTTATTTATAATTTAAATGTGTTATTGTTGTATTATATATTTTAACTTGTCCCTGTTCCCCTGAAACCGATTGTTAGGAGAGTGTTTTTACCGTGACAGATGGGCGTCTTTTCACAAATTCCCTACAAAAATACACAGAGAAAAAATCATCTCTTACATTGAAAATCTCCATTAACATCCCCCGTACGAGAGGGTGGATTTACATCCCATAAAACAATTACTGATCGATCGCTCCATTCCCCCTAAGTGACCATCATTTTTGCTAACTCGATTTAACTTCAGCCCGGCAGCTCGACTTTTCGGTGAAGCGGCTGAAAATATTGCACATTGAATGCACGTGCTGCTCATTCTGATGAAAAAACGTTTGATTCGGAAAGAAAACGAAAAATTTATGATACATAAATCTAAGTCTAAGTACAAATTATTTGATACATTGAGAGACTCTGTAAGTATTTTATATTTTGGTCCCGGTTAGAAATTCCGTTATGTGTCTAAATTTATAAATTGGATGATTAAGAAGCGCAATTTTTGCATGGAATAATAATTCCACACCCATTCTCTATATCAGAAGTCGGATTTGTAAATGGCTTTCTAAAATATTTGTAGCAGCAATACGTCGTTGAGAGAAACCACAAAGAGTAATATTGGCTTAAATACTGCTTGCGGTTTCGTATCTTTTGAACTCGGTCTCCAGTGTTCGAGATTCTACATTGAAACAGTGAGTAATTTTCCATGGAAAATGCCCCCCAACGACACACTTTCAATTGATCGTTAAGTCAGAAGGCATACATGTATTTTATGAATATTCATTATGATATGAAATTAAATCATCAATACTTTCTGTGTGAATAGAAATCTGACAAAGTGTAACAAATATCCTGATAAGTGCTGCAAAAATCGCTTCACAATTAATCATAGCGCAGCCAGTTCGTCCTTGATAACTGCAAGCGCTGTAATCGTTCTATATGTTAACAGTTAATTTGAGTTTTCTTTTGTTGCGTTAATCGTTCAAACAAATTTTAGGGAAATTTTTAGATTAAACCTTATAGAGTTTACGAAATCTAAAGGTTCTAAAAACGAAGTCTAAAAATGGATTCTAAAATAACGCTTCATTTTGCAATAATGTAATCAAATAATATTACCGCTGTCTTTTAAATAGTAAGAAAAGTATCGTCCTCCATAAGCGAACATTCGAGCATTTTCATTTCATATTCCCATCTGCATGCTTAAAAATTTCTGAAATAGACATAATCCAATAAAACTGAAATCCCACGACGTATTAACACTCGTTCGCCGCAAAAAGGCTACCTAAATTTTTCATCTAGACTCACATTTGGTTCAGGATTTTCCCTCATGTGAGACATAAGAATTGCATCATGCAAGCCTAATTTGAGCCAGCAACGTAAGCATTCGTCTCTCTATTTCCATTTTGCTTCTAATTGAAGCATCAGTAAAGATATAATTCACAGGCACGCCGGTTATGCCGGCACGCCAAATGCTAGTTTGCCTGCTAATCTAAATTCCGACCGTGATTTTTATCCTCAGGGGATGGAGTAAATTCCCGCCGGTTGGTGGAATTTTCGATTTTATTCGCTAATAATTTCAGAGGAAACCGTCGGATATAAGTCTCAAAAATATATTATAAAGGTTGATAACTTCACTCACGATTACTGAAGACTTTCTTAAAAACCGTTCCACCTCAACTATGTCACATAAAAATCAATTAATTTTGATTGGATTGGTTCTTGATTGGATTTCACCATGCTTCATTGTTCGAATTTTTACTGAAAAATTGTTAATCGTAATGATATTTACGCCTTCGAAATAACCGGATTTTTGAGAATAACCGAAGTTGAATGAATTTACTTTAGTTAGAATCTTGTCTTAATTAATTGCCCAAATTTCGAACAGAAAATACGCAAAGCTTAAATCAAAATATCATCCCGCCTAATCAACCTCATAAAACACATCCGGCGAGTTCCTAAAAACTTAGCCCTGATCCGCGTCTGAGCCGAGTATTCTTTCTTTTGTTATCGCTGCTAAGGTGCAACAATGCCCCGGTCTGTTCTGTAAAGACGCCGGTGTAGTCAAGCCAATTATGAACTGAGGCTGCTAGGAACATGAAATTATTATTCGCTGGAAGGTAAATTAGAATTGGTATACCGATTGGACTTGATAATATATGGTGTTGATATTTCAACGGATAAAAGGCTTCCTCTGTCCCGAGACTTCAGATTATTGGGGTCCATGAGGATGAAATTGGGCCTAATGAATCGGATTTGGCCAGGCTAAGTTAAAAAACTAAGAACTAATTGGAAACCGAGGTATTTATTGCCAATAAATAAGCTGGTATGCAGTTGGGAATTGTTTAAGCATTTATGAATATTTGGAGAAGGTATAGTATATTTATTTACTTTTCCTAGTGAACTGCAACTTTTTATATTATTCAATAATTTCTGCAGAAATATCTTATTATTTATGACACAGAATTGCAAGACAAATTCCAAAGTTTTGTGTACCAAATTCATTTCTCAGATTTATGCGTTGATTTCCTCAAGGATTAGTGTCAAAGTTAGGAAAATTATGATATCTTATCACTTGACCTGAGTTTATTAGTGACGAAACATGCGAAGAAATGACTTTGTATATTTTCTCATAATGCAACGTCCACAATTCAAGACGGATTCTTTTTCATAGATGACTAGCATGAAATTTTTGCCGAAAAAATGAATAGAGTAATAGTTCTCGCCCCTTGCACAGAACGTGACCACGCATTTACCTATAACCTATCACTCAATATTCACTGAAGACATTCCATGGCATTCATCAGAGATAAATATATTGCAGAGCTAAAAGTCACGAGTCATTCGCATTTAAAATATGGAATATTTTCATGCATCTTTCGCGCAGATATGAACTGCAATACATTCGTAGTGCCCACACGCCCTTAGCTGATGAATGGTTTCATTTCCGGGCAAGTTAGATTCCATTTGAAAAACACGTTTGGAGAAGAGTTTTTTCAAATGGAAAGTTTTTGTTGATGCCTTTAGGGAACGCATAGGCATCATACGATGGGCCATGAAATTGAAACTATTTTCGAATGTTATAAAAATACTAATATGAATATATATATATATATATTAAATATATATATTAATATTAACATGGTTCGTACAATTACCGGACAAAATTAATTACAATTGGTAACATTACCGGACATCGGGTACAAAACCGGACAAAAATCGAGTCCGGTAATTGACGCTAGTACTTATTTATGTGTAAAAACCGGACACGAAAATAAATGAACTACATTACCGGACACCAAAAAAACGCCATATATATATATATATATATATATATTCATTTATAACAATTATAAATATTTTATAGGACTTGACGAAGAACATAAAAGTTATAAATGAACATTTAAATAAAAGATTAATAAAGATCATCAACTAAAAAGTTTATTTATCAATCGAGCTCACGACTTCACGAACCATGATGTTGTTTTCAAATATTTATAGATAAAATGATATAGATTGTTTTATTGAATTGTCAAATTTAAATGTAAAAACTTAGAAAATTAAATCAAAATTAAATTAAATGTTATGTAATTCAATTATCAGTCT